AGAGAAACACATAAGAGTCCAGAGGGCTAAGAGATACTCCACTTGTTGAGCAAAGGCCATATTCTGATGTCACCAGATATGGCATTTCTGAATAGCCTTTTATGCTGGCTTTCACTTCAGGGTTCTGTAAGAGTTAATTTTTTTTTCTTTTTTCTTTTTTTTTCCTCTTTTTTTTTTTGTTTATAAAGAAAACTTCAGGGATTCAGAGGGATTTTTGAGAAGGGCAATTATGAGTCCTAAAAACACCAGTAGAAAGAAATACTGATTCACTAAACAATGCAGTTTAAGACAGAAGACACAATTAACTGTCTGCATTTTCCTCCTAATATTCATAAGACAAGAACGAGTATATAATTTCCAGAGTTTTTAAATAGCTACTTATTTAGATCACCAGAAAATGGCCCCATCCCACATAGGATGCAAAAACCCAGTGATCCACTATTAAATGAACTGTTCCAGATAAACTGCGAGCCAACTGACCCTGGAAATTTAGTACCCAAGTTGCGTGACTCGAAAATCTGTTCAAAGCAAGGCATGGCTGCAGGCCTTGACTGTTGTACTYCAGTAGTCATAGTAACATGGTCTCTGGAGACCTAATGCTAGTGAATTTTCCTTTATTTCAAGGAAGAGTAATAAGAGAAATGTGCATTGGAACTTGTTCTCTCTCTCTTTTTTTTTCCTCCTCCTTATTTTTACTATGCCATGACCTTGACCAAAATATCTTTGAAGTATTTTCTGGCTGATTTTCTGCTATGAGACCAGGAAAAAAATCAGGATATATAAAGGATCTTGCCAAAGGAAGTCCTATCTTCCTCAAAATATTTGCCTTCATTCCCAAAGAGAATCTCTTGACTAATAAAGTTTGAAAAACTTCTTAATGGAAGGAACTGATAACTTTCATCTCACAGCTACTGCAGGCACCAGAATAATATCGTATTTTCTTTGAACTGACAGATTAATTGTTTTTTTGTTTCGGTAGCAGGTGCAGCTTTTCGTGAGTGCATAATTGGAAGTACATGTTTTTTCAAAAGAACACAGGCCCCTATCTGGTGCCAAGCCTTTTTTTTTTTTTTTCTCTTTTTCATTTGGGAAAAAAGTCCCACATGATTTCATTTTTTAAGTACAATGTAGAAAACTCATGTAAGTGTTTTAAAAAAGCCAAATACAAACAAACAAATGTTCACAATACATACTTAAGTCTGTCTCACATGTTTCAGCTATTATCCTGGATTAGAAATTCCATCTGTCATTGAATCCATATGGTTTACCAAATGGCAGTTGAAAACCATGTATTTTTTGCAGATCTGAAGTTAGTTGTTTTTTGTTGTAAAAGTTTTAAGGTCCATATTAATACTTCTSTGTGTGTGTTTGTTTCTTTGTGTGCATGTGATGATCTGTGCACGTGTAAGAATATGCAATATTGTAAAAAAWTTTGGGATGCAGGTGGACTTCACCGATTGAAACACACTTGTTGTACACAAAGCAAATACCATCAGCACTGAATTGTGAAGTTTGGTTATTTCATCCTCTAAATGCAAGAGCCCTGATTAGGCTTTCCATTATTTCCACTGAGAGGATTAAAGTGAAGTGAGGAGACCTGCCTTTACTTCTCTGTGCTGTCCCCTCCGTGYTTGGGAGCAAGAGAGAGCTATTGCTGAGAGTTTTATTTCAGTGACTGAGAATGTTTAAAAATCGTAAGTGGAGCCATATACTTCATTGTCCTGTTTAATGTGAGACCTGGTAACTTAGAACAAAAAAGCTGGGGACAGTTTTCGCTCGTTCTTGTTACTGAAGCTGTCTCTCTCTCCCACTCAGTCTCACAAGTCATTAGGCTTCTGGCCAGAAAAATGAAAAAAATCTCTATGCAGTGCTACTGTAACTCCATTTCAGTATGGAGTTGTATTTGGTACCTGAGAGATTTATCTGAGAGGTTTGWAAAGGTATTTCCTTACTAATTTGAATCACCATTACGCACTCGGGGTGAGAAATGTGCTAGCAAACACCTCCTCCTTATTAACACCTGTGGTAAGTAGACAAGGAAAGTATAAATSCCAGCCCAGCTCTGACTCTATTCAGTCTTCTGGGCTACAGATGTCTGTTTTCACACTGAAATAAGGTTTAGAGTAATACTGAGAAAGCAGTGCAATTTGTAGGCGTAGATGAGATTCACTCGTATAAAGTTTTACTTGATATAGAGCTTGTCTTTTTCTAATGTGGTTAAAGCAGCAGGTTTTCCAGTTGAAATGAAGTTTAGAGACATGGAATTTGTGTTAATCCTCAGCTGAGTCATGTGGCTCCATAAAAGTTGTTTTTTGCACCAAAGTGGGTTTTGCTTTCCCTTTTTGCAGRGCTAAACCTCTAATGCAGTTGGGGTCATGAAACAAGTAATGTTTATTTTAGAGACCTAAACTCAGGAGAGGACACCAGCATTTTGAGAACAAGCCAAAAACAAAGGAGGGAAACTTTGTAACTCTCTTCATTTACATACAYGCCTCAAATCCATATTTGTTTCAGGCTTAGCCTAAACACATGGCTCCTTGAACTTTTCCTCCACTTSTTTCCTCTTCCTCCATCCCACCTCCTTTTCAATACCTCCTCCAACCTCACAGATGTAGTTGCCAGTACACTGATCTGAACCCTTGGAAATGCACATGGTCCCATTTCCCTTTCCAATTTTTAAAAACTACTGCACCTATTCCAGCCTAACTCTAACTCTGTGAAAGAAAAACATGTGTGATGAAAAACCTTCTTGCTTTCTACTGTGGGGGATCAATTCTTCCATTTTAAAGGTAGTGACTAGTCTCTCATGTACATGTATAGGCCTAAAGAGTATGTATGAATATGTTGAAGAAGACTAATTTTTGAATAGAGGAATTTATTTCTTGATTCGTAACAGCAATCCCTGGCAAGGGCAGATGTTCCTACAGGGGCTGAAAATCTCCAGCTTGCCTGCAGGACAATGGAGGGTACATTTTAAGGATGTTCAGCATGATAGCGTGTGAAATTCTTAGATAATATTCAGATCTTATGGTCAYTGTTTAAGCTTTTCCAGATAGGGCTTGGTGCATTCGTTTAAGAACTTTTTTAAAAATTAAGTAAATTTCTTTCATTTTTTAATGTTCTTAATTTCTACCTGGTCCARTTTCATGGGCAGGACTTGAGGTCTTTCAGAATATGCATGGTAAGAGCYACAGACAAAAAGGAGCTCCCCTAAGTGTCCTACAATTATCTTCATAAACTTTAGTCTATCCAAATTAAAAGGCCTGCCAGGTACTCAAAAGGGAATAAAATTCCTAACATCACATCACYGATGGTTTCATTGCTGTGAAGACAAGTCCAAAGAGACAAGATRCCAAAAATGGTTTCTTGCCTGCATTTGACATTGGAAATGTACATGACAGACACCATCTATGGAGGTTCCTCTTAGTGCAGTGAAAGACACAGATGTGAAGCTGCAGAAATTTTGACATACCATCTTCAGGTTGGTGAGGTGCTGGGACAAATTTGGGCATTATTTAGAGCAGGAAATAGCACCAGTTGATCAAGTCCTTGTGTTTGAAGCGTTGACAAGGATAAGTAGCATTCAACACAAGCCCAGCTAGGCAGAGATGACRCTTATTCTGCAAAGGATCCGTACCGTGGAGCTGACCTGCAACAAAACAAGATTTGCCACTGCCTGTTCTTAGCACTGACTTATKGTCAGAGCTGACTGGATTGAATCACACCACAGCCATTGCAGGCTTACCATTTCTCAAGTCATCGTTCCACAGGTTCTTCAAGGCACAGAGCCCCTAGCCAAGCGTGGGCCCACAGGGCCACGTTTCCAAAGGTGCTCCACATTTATGATGGGGGCCAAACCTTCTGAGGAGGTCAGTCTATTGTGCACTGAACTCTTGAAATTCTGCCCACCATTGTCACAGTGGGAACAGCCTTCAAGCAGTCTTGGAAATCTGGTCTTTATTTAGGAACCAAAAAGAGAACCAAGCTCACAAAAATATGTCAGTGTATCTGGTTACTGAGCAATTGAAAAYCTGTCCTCGCTGTGCTTCAGGATTAACTCAGGATTAATAGGCACATCAGTAAATTGAGAGTAAGGTGAARCAAGGATAATAACAATATAGCAGTGTTTCAGCAACAGCTATTTGAACTGTAATCTCAAAGACCTTAAAAGCAWCACATGAGAGGATCTAAACTACCTTGGAATGCAAGCCTGCTGGAGTAMAGATATGTTACCAAACCTATATCAAGGGAAGAGAGGCAAAATTAGTCAGTCTATATGCATCATGATCTTAATCTTTACATCACGTATTTAATTTAATCCTTACTTTTATTTTTGGATTTCTCTGGTTGCTTTCCTTGCATCACCAAGTGCATGAGAATTCATTTAGCTATTTTCTAGATTAAACATTGTTCTATACCAATGAAGTATTTATTGGCTACTTTTTATATTTATTGCACTTAAGCAATTATACTGCGTATGCATTTTTATAGAAGCTTAAGAAAACCACCATGCMGTAAAATGCAGATCCAATTAAAGTCATAGCTGCAACAGCACAGGTATTTAATTTTATCATTGGATATTATTATATTATTATATTTATTAATGCATATATATTGAAAGCAATTATTGTGGAATGTGGAGTTTTAAATTAAAAGGAAAAAGAAAGTTAACACTCTCTATTAAACTTTTAATTCTGTAAATTAATGAGCAAATATAATTATGCAGATAATTAAGCAGACAATAAACTGGTAATGTTTATACAGTAATGATAGTTACACTGTAATTAAATACCTCAACTTTTTTAAAAAAGGAAAGAAAGCATGTTCCAGGTTGTTATTCATTTTTCATGGTAGGAAAAAGACTTTCTGCAAAAAATTAGTGTCCAACTTTTTGCTGAGTGATCTTTTTCAGATTTAGAATATTCTTTAAATTATTACATTTATATCCATTTTRTTCTCTATCTTTTAACCTTTTCAATTATTTTATTTTCCTTTTTCAGTCACTGAATGGTTTTGCCTTGGTGGTGAGTGCAGATGGAATGATATTCTATGCATCATCAACAATTGTGGACTATCTAGGGTTTCATCAGGTAAATACACCGAGAAACATTTAGAATACCTAGTCAATGTCATTCTAGTCAATGTGTTGACTTTCTTGTCACCACTTCTGCTAACTTTTTCTTTTAAATGCAGTGTTGTGTGTTGCTACCTTATCCACCTTATCCACCTTATCCACCTTATCCACCTTATCCACCTTATCCACCTTATCCACCTTCTGCTGATTAGACATACACTATTATTGAAACAAGGTTATTTTACTATGCCATTTCAGATGAATTTTTTTTTGGTGAATCTGACAGGTGTAATTTTTTCACCAAATTTTTGGTGAAAATTYGTCTTGTAATTACCTTTTGTAAAGCTTGTGTTAGCAGAAACATTATCCATTATAAAACTAAGATTTACTCGAAGTTTCTTTTCAATCTCAGTATTAGATGTTGCTTTTCTAGGCTAAATAAATTCTAGGTGTAATAAATATATTCAAAAGTCACAGAACAACGGAACCATGTAATTGGAAAGGACCCCTGGAGGTCMTGTTGTCCAACCTCTGCTCAAAACACATCGAACTAGCGTAAGTTGAAGCRAGACTCATCTAGTCAGGCTTTGAGTTTCTATGACCCCTTTGGAAGATGTGTTCCAGTGTTTAGCCACCACAATTGCAATTTTTTCTCTTATTAAATCCAGTTTCTCATGTTGCCACYTGTGTCTGTTGCTTCTTGCCCTCTCACTTTGTTCTTCTGAGTAGTGTCAGGCTTCGTCTTCTCTTCCCCGATCATTTGGTTGATGCAGACAGCAGCATGTTCTTCCTGAGGTTTTCCCTTCTGAAGGCTGAACAAACCCTGTTCTTCTCTCCTGGATGGGCTGCAGCTCTTTTAAGTGTCTTGGTAGCACTCTCCTGGGTTCATTTTGATGTGTGAATCTCTTTCTTTCCATGGGGTACCCAAAATTAAGAGAAAATTTGTCTTTGCTGAACTTCCTAAGGTTCCTGTCAGCCTAGTTTTACAGCCAACCAAGGAGCTTGCCCTCCCCAGCTGGTGCCCTCTGCAAACCCGCTGAGCATCCATTCTATCCCACGATTCCTTAGTCAAGAAATTCAACAGGGTTTGTCCAGGCATAAATCCCTGGGGGATGCTACTCATTGTCAGTTGCCATTTGTGTGTTTTCATTACTCACATTTGCATACATACAAAAGAGTTAAGAATAGAAAGAATCCTCTTGGGATGTGAAAGGAAAAAGCAGATGTTGCAAAGTAGGYGCCTCTGAAAGAACTTTCCTCAATCAAGCTGCTCTGATGGTATCCTACACCTGCCATTATTTTAAGCAAAATATCAACGTAAAGGTAAGTGGCTGCACCCCTACAATTACTAATTAAACATTCCTTGTTGTAATTTTTTCAGACGGATGTAATGCACCAAAACATATATGATTACATTCACGTGGATGATCGCCAGGATTTCTGTAGACAGCTGCACTGGGCCATGAATCCTCCCCAGATGTTGTCTGGACAGCAACTACAGTCAGAAACAGGTGGGATTGTGCATGTTGATTGGAAACWTAGGCACCGCTGCACAGAGGTACAATTGCACTCTGCCTATGCCCGTGTCAGTACTGTGTCAATTCAGATTTTTCACTGGAAAGACGCATAGTGGCCATTTATTTATGTTATTGTCTTAGAGGTGACATTTCTTCCTGATCCTGGGCATTTATAAGGTAGAGTGTGCCACTGGTGCTACAAAGTAGTTTCCTTCATTTTTCTCTGACTAATGTGCCTACACATATTCTTACACACACAGAATGAGCAGCATCAGCTGTTCATGCCACCAGCCTTTGGCAGCAACAGATCAGGACATCAATAATCCTCTCATTGAGGCCAAACWTTGCTGTGCAGAACCACAGTGGTAGCATCACTTTCTGCCATTTGTTTTGCCAGGAAAAATTCAGTAGATAGGAGCCTTCTGAAGAACAAGTAGGTTTAGCAATGCACTTTTTCCTCTGAGGCTGCACTTCCCTAGGATGGGAGCAGGATGCCTGTGCTGAAGGTTTCTCCTAATGAGGTGTTAAGATGAAACCACAACTACAGAATGTATAGCCAGGTTGAAATTGTTAACCCTGTACAGAATTATTGATCCCCGCAAAAAAAATATGTATTTCACCATAAGGTGAGGAAGTAATTGAAGAAATAAACTGGGAAGTATAGCCACAAGATGAGTGGGGAGAAATCACAAGGAACCCTTCAGCAACCTTTATGAGGTCCTCAGGAACACCGTCATGAAACTTAGGTAGAATTTCTTGCATTTCCTGTAGAACAGTTTCTCTGTTTTACAGTAGTGTTACAGTTGTCTGAGGAACTTTGCAAGACTTTGTAGGAAGTATACAGGAAGCAAACTAAACAACGTGCACTAATATTTCAAACCATAAAATTTATGAATATTTGGAATTTTTGTCCTAATTTGTATCGTGGAGAATATCAGTTCTTGAGTTTATCCTTTCATTTAAATACTTGTGTAGTTTGGGCAATATTGCAAAAGCTGTTCACTTGTAATCCAACAAAAATCAAGGATGCACAACAGCTGAACATTAGCTGTCATTAGATGTCAACATCATCTACTGTCCATTTTTTTGTTTTGGTTTTTTTCTYGCATTAACATTTTTCCTTATTTTGTTCTCTTGTCTAATGCATTTTCTGTGATCTCTGATCTCAAAACCAGAAACATCTGTTATCCCATTTTGCGTCATTAAATATCACAAAAACTCAGGAAATAAAATCCAAATTTCTGAAGAAACTCACCCGAATCCCATTGTAGAGGTTTTATTTTTCTTTTGGTTGAGCATGTGCAGATGTATCTATACATGACACAATTGAATATTCGCCGATCCATAAAGCAATTTTTAGCAATTTCCGTAACAGCTTCCTCAATTGGCTACAGAACATATTCATTATTTCTTGGTGTGATCTGATATATGTTGCCTCCACTGTTGTTCCTAGGAGAAGAATATATTCTCAGTAAATTGTTTAAAGCCCAAGAGAATGACAGCACGACAACAGATTATTCATCGTTTTTAACTCGCTGTTTCATCTGTCGAGTTCGCTGCTTGTTGGACAGTACTTCTGGATTCCTTGTAAGTACAATTTCCCTTAGATGACTGTAGTCATGACATAATAGATTTAAATTACTTCATATGAAAAATTATAACATAAATTATAACATAAATATTGTGGAGAGGATACACTTTTCTTTTGCTGTGTACTAACAAGAAACACCTAAAGATGATTATTAGTATTTGTGAAGAGTGATGGCAGAAAAGAAGGTCGTAATATTTGAAACAGAAAGAATTTAGAAATTTTTATGTTTTAAGCTCTTCTGGACAATATCTGTGCTACTGGACATAGCACAAGGGTGGCAAGTCTGAATTTCAACAATTAACATCTAAGCACCAAGTATTTGCTTTAAAAAGCAGGAATAACAATGATCTATTTTCCCCTTTTGTAAAGAATCCTTTAACAATAAAACTCAGAACTGGAAAGCCTCTTGCATGCTCTGTGCTGTGAGCAGCTCATTTCTAGTCCACTTGTTTAGTAAAGACCAATGCTGTTTCTACTTAGGGGAAACTCCAGCAAAGAAAATGAGARGATCAGTATGAGACAGGGAAATGCAAGTTCTGTCCCAGATGCTCATTTGCTGGAGGGCTACGGGTCTAAACAGCCATCATTTCTGCATCCCTGCTTTAATCTCGTAGCTCTGTAAAATGCCTTACTCAAACAGGCTGATTTTTCTCTGGGCATCTTTTGGTAATTAATTTTTTCACTAAAAGGCAGCAGCTTGCTGTTAACTTGATCCCTGCCTTTTGACTATACAGATCTGCATTTGAGGCAGGGATGGATGGTTCCTTCCAAGCTACACACTCTGTATCCACCTACCTTGGGCCAGTTTTTCCCTTGGCATCTGTCTACACGGTCCTTGGGTTGTTCTATTCCATATACTTTCCCAAGAAAGTAGAGGAAAGAACTAAGCAACCATCTTGCTGAGAGAGTAGAGCATGGAAAAATAATGGTTCCAGTTTTACTGGGGTACTGAGGAAAAAACTGTTTGCACCACTGCACACTACCAGCTTTGGCAAACAGAACATTACACATAACTTCTACTTCTGAATATACAAGAGAGAAAAAAAAAACAACTCAACCAGCCTCATTTTACTGTTGATTGTACCTCCACCCACCATGCCTCTGAAATGGCATGGTTTAAATTATATGAAGAAAATTAAATTCCTATTTTTAATCCCTGATTCAAAACTGGGTTTGGTGTTAAATAACAAGGTCCATAGGTTGTATTAGCATTTTAAATATTTATATACTGAATGCTTAAGATATTTTTTTTTTTTTAATACCAGACAATGCAGTTCCAAGGCAAACTCAAGTTTCTCTTTGGACAAAGGAAGAAGTCCTCATCAGGAACAGTAYTGCCACCTCAGCTGTCCTTATTCTGCATAGTGGTACCACTTCTGCTCCCTTCTGTGACAGAGATGAAGATGAAAAGCCTGCTTATGAAAGCAAAACACAAAGCTGATGATGCAGCAGCAGCGAACACAAAGTATTTACAAATTAATCTTTTAGCATTTAGTGAAGATTATGGCCTATTAAGCCTGTAAAAAACACAAATTATGCTAAATATCTCTTCATTTTAAAACTCTTTCTAAGCAAAGTGAATAATTTATCTGGATTTAACTATTGAATACAAAATAAATAKAATACAATTACTATAATATAACATTATGGAATGCAAGATGATGCAATATATTGTACTTGTTTATAATACATGTTAAKTCTTATATTTCAATATATGAAATTTTATTTTAATAATGGAACATTAGGATATCTTTCTAACTCTCAGAAGTTACCAACACAGTTAGCCAGTCTACTAGGTGTAAAAGTGGAAAAGAGAAGTATTTTTACTGAGAGTTTTCAAATTTCAGTATCTTCTGCTAACACAATTATTTTGACTTGGGCATTTTGGTAACAAAGGAAAAGGAAAACTTCAGAAATCTGAATGTGTGTGTGTGTGTGTGTGTGTGTGTGTTCACACAGAGCCTAATGAGTTCTACTTGGTGTATGCATTTATCTTTCAACAGAAGTTTTATGAACCCATAAGTTTACAATTGTGCTAAATGGCTTGGGGGTGATCATTTGGTAGCAATCACAAAAGATCAGGACAGATTGTRTTCAGACTCATCTCCTTCCATATACTTATTTTTTTTTACTCTTCTATGGCAGAGTTTGAGTTGATTTTGGGGCTAGGATCATTTTTACAAATCATAATTTTCCCTTATTTGCTTAAATATAACCTTACAGTAATGAGTTCTATTGCTGTGAGGCAAAATGCTTGTCAGTCTGACTGACAGYACCATAATTTGGCTTTTAATTAGATTATGCTTGTGGATTCACTATCCAGACGTATAATGTGGTTCTAGCACATACATCCTTTTGACAAGAACTAAATCGCTGGAAGTCTGGTACAATGGACTATGCAGGATTTTGGAGCAGAGTTGGAAAGTCATTTCCACTTGATAGTTTTTCCAATGGCCCAGGTGAAATTAACTGATGATCAGAACTGAGCTCATAGAAGAGAGGTGCTTTACTATATGGCTGGACAATTGCCACGGATTTGAAAAGAATAAAGCAACTATTTATCTTCAATGTTTCCTTTGGTTCAGGCCTGAAGCATGGTAGCCAAGGGTGGTGGGCAGATTTACACCAGATTTTTTTTTTTTTTCCTGATGGTCTTAATAAAGGGAAGCATTTGTGATGCAGTGTTACAGACATTGCACCATTTTCAWGCCCTGATCCAAGCATTTTCAACTAAAATTGGAAGAAATTATTCAAATCATATGGTCATTATTGTAAATTGAAGTTGGGCTAACTCTTAAATGCATTGCTGTCACTGTGATGCATGTACCTGGAATGTAACTTGAATAGGAAGAGCAGAATATAKGCAGCATTTGTTTCAATTCCAGATGAAATTTACTTTTCCAGATATAGTAAGTCATGAGAGGAATATTCCTAAACATAACTATTCCTCTTAATTGAATACAGAACTCCAGTCRCACAYTAGTTTGAGCAACCAAATGATGCAGGAAAAAGAATTATTTAGTGTTAGTCACTACATAATTAAACCATAAACCTCTGCTAATGGTCACCAGCTTGAAGATACTATCTTTTAGGGTCTGTGATTCTACTGTGTTGTCATTCACTGACAAGAAATTTTCCACATTTTCTACCCTCTACAGCTCCAGTTCGAAAGGCAATTCAGGAGTGTGCGACACAACAGAATTATACGGAAGRAACAGTCACCATGAAGGTGCCGCCTTCACTAACGCACTACAGATTGCTGAAAACCAAATCAAAGGTACTGCTAAGTACTTCTAGAATATATGCAGTTTATGGAAAAAGAACATTGTCTTATTTTCCCCTGCTAGGTTTTTCAGGTTTCGGTCCCAACTCTTTTTCTCTCCTTGTCGTCTCTCTAACATTTGTTCTTTAAAAAATGCAAAAAAAGTTGTCCACCTCAAAAAATAGTACTGAATTAGGCTGTGATTTCAGAATGGGCAGAAAATTTACAGACAAATAAACAATCATGGTAAATAGTAATAAATAGTAGTAAAAGAATACTGAATGTATGCTTGCCTAAAAGTGGCAACACTGAATTTAATAAGATTATGTGAAAATTTTAATAATTAATAACCGTATCTATCCCTCTGAGGAAAACTAGATGATATGCTGCAAGTTTTAGTTTACCCCAGAGATTTAAAAACAGACAAAAATTAGAATGCATTGTCTTTAAAACTCATTATACGCTCACAGCTTTGACTCATGCTTTTCCAGTGCATGACTGTGGAAAAATTATGAGACTATGCTCTGTTTCAGATTTTACAATGGATAAAATGATGATGGTAAGCCTACCCCACTGGGCAACTTCTTGAGCAGACTTGTACTCATCTTTCTGTCATATCTGMTTGAAATCTTTAATGTCTCTAAAACCATTTTGCTGTTATAGCCCAATTTTTCATGAACCTTTTCTTGTTGGTATAGTACTACTTCTACTGAGAGATAAAAATTATAAGGAATGAGTAATATTGAAAAAAACCTTGGTTACAGTTTAAATGCCTTACTAGGCTTTTAAAATTTTAGTTTTAAAATGTAACTTGCTTCATTTTGTGACAAATTTTAGCTGGTACTTTCCTATAGAGATGCTTCCAGGGCAACAAAGAAACCTTTGAACATTCACATTTTAGGTAAGGAAAAACACTTAATACTGATTGTATTAAAATCTGTTTTCTTTTAAATTATATAGCAAAGAATAATGGAGAAAATGGCATTTCTCTAGTCAAAGTACAAACAAATGAAGATCACTGGGTCTGGGTTCAAGCTAAYACTCAACTTCTATATCGAAGTGGTTGTTCAGAATATGTCCTTGCACAACAGCAAATGTTAAAGTAAGTATATTTTCCAGTACCAAGAAGAAAAAAAAAATAGAAAAATGAATGTATTCTTTCTGTATGAAATCTTTAAAAGGGCTGTAGTGACCTAAGAGTAAGGCTGAATGAGAAAAATTTAGTTTACCTGTGATATGGAAATCTATTTCTATCTCGGGACATATGAAATGGCTGTTATAATCCTGAACAATTTTTATTTTCTGTCTTCAGTCTTTTCTTCTTCTGAAGTTGAGYGTATACATACACTAAGACAAAAAGAAAACACTTAATTATTAATATTTTATTTTCTTGCCCAAAAAATATATTTTGGGTTTTGTTTTATTTTATGGCTGAAAATCTACTGTCCTGGCGTTTCTGCTTATCAACATCTATGTTAAGCTTTTTTCTTTTCCTTCATGTATGACAGGTGAGCTCATGTTTTTAGTTGCATATGTGCAACATAATCTAAAGAAGGATACTCATAATCACTGTATGTTTGTAGATAAATACCTCTAGTACCCCCTAGGCTCAGTCACAGACTGTAAACTAATCTCACAGATTTGCATTCAGACAGGACTTCTTGGGTGAGTTTTTACTTTTTTCTYCCAAATAGGTTTTTTAACCTTCCCCACAGGGACTGTTCCAGTTCCTGTGTGCCTGGTTGAAATATCTCTTCAAGCTGGTCTGGAGGAAGAGATAAGAGAGTGGACTCAGTGAGCAGGGGCCAGGAGATTTACCTAGCCACCATCTGGCCCAGTGTTAAAAATGTGGCTTTTAGCCTAGAGTTTTTTCTTTTAGAATGCCTTGCAGGTGGAAGAAATAAATGAAAAAAAGTCTTAGCACTTCTAGAGTAGATATTCTTCGCAGGCAGTGTTATCTCCCAAGATCCACATGAAGAGCAGGGGAGCTCCCACCTGGGAGGATCCTGGAACTTTTTTACATTTACTGGGATGGCACAAACATTATCTTGCTGTTTGAGGAAATGAACTTCTGCTAAGAAACAGATTTTAAAGGCATTTTCTTTTACTAGTTTCTCTATTTCCAAATTTGTTGGGGTTTTTTTTCTTTTTGTAATTAAGCACATTTATTTCGTTACATTTTTGCTTTCTGAGTTATTAAAATCTTTCCTTTGTGCTTGATAGTTCCCGTAGACTGAAGTATTACAAGAGTTGGCCTTGGTAATTATATTCAGTTCTGTCTTAGTCTGTCTTAGTCTGCAACAGACTTAGTATTTGCTTCTATTTTTTTTTTTTTTTTTTTTTTTTTTTTTTTTTTTTTTTTTTTGTTGTTGTTATTGTTAAAATTATGCTGTCTTCCTGGAAAGATGCTTTTTCTTGAGAATTTTTTTTTTTTTTTTTTGTTGTTGTTATTGTTAAAATTATGCTGTCTTCCTGGAAAGATGCTTTTTCTTGAGAATTTTCCCTGCATACTATTTCACTATAAGTTTCTTCATTTGGGAGTTAAACTTTTTTTGACCATTTCATTTTGTTCTGTCCTTTGCTTCCCAATTTGACCATTTCTGAGAAGCGTGTTCTGTAGCAAACTTGTGTCAGACCATTTGCAACTCAATACTGCCAATAATGAAAGTAAGAATATTTAGCAGAGGACTGAAAATATTTAATAACTCATTAAAAAAAAAAGAAAAAGAAAGAGAAAATATTCTTCTTTCGCGATGTTTATTATTACAGTGGGATGCTCTCTCTTTGTACTGACTTGGACTCCCTCTACTGGAAAATCCTTTACTTGCACATTGGTTTGATTCCCAAGGAAAAAGTTCGATTGGGAGCTAAGAAACAGCCTTTTAAACCCCTTAGTAGCTCTTCAGATTTTCACACGCAGTTTCCTATTGAGATGTCTGCTTCTTGTTTGGAGAGGGATGAGGAGGTTTCATAGCACTGAMCCTGCCTGATTGGGAATCAGAACATTAATGTTTCAAGACCTAACCTCAGGATTTGGATCCCAGTTCTGAAAACAGCTTCTTTGGGCATGGAAGTGCTCAGGCAGCATTGTCTGCCAGTATTCTTCTTTAATGTTGAGTACTTAAGCTGGAGGTCATGGAAAATTAATTCACTGGCCATCTTAAAGAACAAAAGGCAACATAAATTAMGTTAGACATATAAAACAAACCTACACCCAAGACGAACATCTGTGACTATTTGGTCATTTATTCTGGGCATTTAATTTCTTCTCAGCTAACTCTGTATTCTCAAAATACAAGAACCCCACGGTTCTCCTTCAAATCACTTTGATCAGAAAGTGCTTATTTGTCCAAATAATTCATGGTTAATAAAATCCATCTTGTTTAACATATTACTTGTATTTTATATCCAGAATTTTCTAGACACAAATATTATTTAGATATATTTTAAGGAAAGAACAAAAGTGTAAGGGAATTACTGTACTGTTGTACAATATTTAAGGCATTTATGAACTGTGTGACTGAAATGGAAAAGCAAATGCATGATAGAATTCAAACAAAGCAATGCCTGAGAAAGTTAGCTTTGCACACACATTGACACCCAGATGCAGGGACACTCTTTTGCTCTCTCAAGCAAATGAAAAGGATCTGTGGACAAGAGTGTGAGAGTCCCATATTGAGGACAATGTACAGCTTGTGATGTGTGTTGAGCTCTGTATCCAGAAAGCAACCATTTAGAAACCTCTGACTGACTGCCTTTTTTTTCTACTGTTATTGAAAGGGAAGAAGATGAACAGCTGAAGATACTAAGTGGTTTTGCCAGTTTGAAAGGAAACCTGGAGGGACTTCACTATAACAGTGCCATTGAAACTCTGGGCCAGTGGAAGCACCTTAACTGGGCAGCAGTGAAAAATGAGCAAGATARCGTAAAAGTGAAGTTTGAGCCTCATACTAATGGTGAGTGTTTTATGCAAGAGGAACCTCTCAGTTCTAACACATCACTTCTAGGCATTCAAAACAACTGCACCACAAACAGTAGTTGGACTTCAAGAAACTCGAGTTCTTGTTCTATGAGCCAGCGAATGAACATGTGTCCAAACAGGAGGGCTGGATCATTCTACAATAGAGACCAAAATTTCCTAAATTTGGCTTCCACTTGTCCTTCCCACTGGGGGAGCACGGAGAATGGCCAGTCTTACCCAGGGATCCAACAGCGCTGCGCAGAGAGCTACACAACAGACCATCTGAAGCTGCAGAGACCATTAATATCCTCAGAACCTCTCTATGACTCTGCCATTCCCTCGGAGACGCCTATCAAAACAGAATACGATTCTGATTCTGAAAACATTGCCGATAACTACCTGCTGTCACAGAGCCGAGCCTGGCTGGATGAGAATGGCTCCKTGAGGAAGCAGGTGTCAGGTTATCCCAACAGAATGCACCTCAAAACAGAACCGGACCTCTGCGAGCCWGCCTTGCCCTGCCAGAAGCCGAGGCACTGCCTTTACACACCACATAATTGGCAATGCATCATAGCAAACCATCCCAGCAACCTGAACTTGAACAGGGCTTGTAAGGGCTCACGTAACAAGGASGTGGCCCCGTTTTGCCCTCAGAACTCCTCCATGTGCTTGGAAAGCATGCCTGACCTGCCACACACAGCTTGCTATGGCCACTTCTACAGCCCCAGCCCAGGGGAGGAGAAAGAGCAGGTTAATGAGGTGTTCAAAATGCCGTGTGAATTTAAAAATCCCTGCTTGGTTCAAGCAATCAAGCGTGAGCCCCTGGATTCTCCACCGTTGTCCAATGGTGGACAGAACAGAGYACACACGAGCTTCCCTGGAAATACATTAGCAGGTCCTGTGCCTCATAAAACCACTGAATGTACATTTTTGCAATAGATTTTATAACATTTGAGATATTTATAATGTTAAAAGCAAGAAGTTGTAGATTCTCTTCCAGTTGGGTTAAAYGAGCTACTAAAATTAAAAGCCAGTGGAAAGATTTTGAGTGTGCGTGTGTGTGCACCTGTGTGTGAAAGAGACACAGGTACACACATCCTACCCCTCTACTGCCCTTCTCTTAGTGATCTTTGGAAAGAGAAAAGAAAGATAAAAACCTCAGGCACAGAAAAATCATCATTACTTGCTGCACAGGTATACCTGATCATTTTKCTTTATCATCTTTCCTTTCTTGTCGACCRTTCATTACCAAGGTCTAGCAATTTCTGATTCCTGCTTTTGTTCTGTTTGTTTTTCTAAAGTTGGTGTGATGCCTCTGTGCAAATCAGAAATGTTTATGGTCTTCAGTGTGGCCACTTTACCTTAGGAGTTTTTGCTTTATAATTTTTTTTCTACTCTATAAGAAGGATCAGCTATTCCTTCGTCCCAGCATTAAATTATTGGCAATAGKAAAGGGCTTCCCAACACAACTTTTTAATTTAAAAGGACTGCCTAAATAAAAACAATGATTTCCATAGCTGCATTAGAAACTATTTCACTTCAAACTGAATTTATTCCTAAGTTTCTTGATAACATTATTGTTTTAGAATCCATATTTTTTCAATTTTAAAGCCATCATGCAGCTGCTGAAAGACTTAATAAGGGGATGTAATSGACTTCTATAAATGAGTTACAAAATGTTCTTAAGAATATGTGAGAACAAAKTATTTCTCCAGTTACTTCCCTTTCGTTACTTGTAACATTAACAAATGAAATGCACTTTTTTACTTGATAGTATTTCTTTGATGGAGAGCAGCTTGTTAGATATCGTCACCTTACATCAAAACCAGATTCCATATTAAGATTATTTTCAAAAGCATCCTAGTTTTGATCCCAAAAGAAACTCTYAATCTCACTGAGAGGTAATTGGTGGATGTATGCCTTTCAAAAGCATTTCAGTGCACTTTAGTGCTTTAGAAAACAGAGTGTATACTTTCCTTTGAACCCAGGCAGTAATGTATTTCCATAACAAAAAAACCGTATATTTTGGGTTTTGTTATTGTTGTAGTTTGACTCCTGCACTAATTTTTGTTTTAAAATTGCACTACTTCAACTTTATATCAACTTCACCTATATAAAAACCACATCATTTAAAAAAAAGCTTAGATGTATGTATATGTGCTTTTTGAAAGAAGCCCTGTATGAATGTTTTCTTTTTCAAAATGTTATAAATAATTATAATGTCTTCCTTTCTCTATCTGTTAGTCACTAAGGGCATGGCTTTACATGCCAGAAGAGTGGCATAAAATTCTCACAGAGGCTTTAAATATGTGGGATAAGTGTCGTTTTCAGGTGGAGCAATGGTTCTGCACCTGGGAGGCTGCTCTTCTCCAAGAAGACTGACCATCTTTTCTGATAAAAATTACTGCCTGTACATTAGAATTRGCAGGTGTAAAGATATACATCCTCTGCATTTCAGCCAAGTGCTTATGAACAGTGGTATAATCTGAAATGCCACACACTGGACAGTAAAAAGAGGCAACAATATCTTACTGTAGCTCAGGTTAAATGTGTCATAATCCAGTTGACCATATCCACGCCATGAGAATGTTACCTTTTTTGTGTCTGAGGTACATCAGCTCCCTGTTGGCTATGTGCTGCCTTTTATTTGAGACAGTCTTGCTATCCTTGCTTTAACACCCCTGCCAGTGTGTGCAATGCAGTATCAGACCCCGTTCTGAAGTGACACCACAGCGGTGGAGTTTACACTGCTCTCCAACACACCACATCACATAAATTCAAGCGAAACTGCAAAAATACTTGTGGGCAAGCAAACTGGCTGCTTATGTGGAGAGAGACTGCCATAAATCAGTGTTGCTGCACAACCTCTGCCTCATTGATTCACTRTMTACRTAATTAYRAGCAGCAGTTCCATAGACWCTCGCAGAGTTGCTGTCATAGTCCTTTGCTTGCCAYGTAGCAGTGGCACTGCTTATGTGCTGGTGCCAGACAYTCTGCTGTGGTGTTAGAGCTGCTCRTAGGGYTGTGCTATGAACCCTGTAATATCCTCCAGTCCAGCTCCTGGCGCAGCTGCCTGGCAGAAATGAGATGATGGGGAGAAGGGATAGTGTGGGAATAGAAGACTGGGGGCAAGTGAAGGACACACCTGCATGACCTCTGAAAAGCTGSYTGTTTAATTCCACACTTGGAATCACTGTYRCACCYCTCCAAATGAGAGTACCTGAGCCTGGTTTCACACTACCTTGCACTTTCTCACACCATTTGCATTGATGAAGAGTGACTGTAAAACTCTGATTTTCATCTGGACATGCTGGTGCCATTTTGCACGATGGGAGTGTTTACACCAGGTGCAGCTCTGTAGGGGATTGTGCCACTGATAGCTGTGTCTGTGCTTAGGAATATTTCCTGGCGTGACTACAGTGGGAGAACTACACCAGCCAGGTTTCTCTCTTCTGCGCAGAAACAATTTATACTAACAACAGAAGTTCTCTAAAGTTCTCCATGTTACAAAATTAATTCCTTTTTTGTTGACATAACTCTATCCACTCTCAGGCTTTCCTGGCTCATTTCAGTTAGAATTATTTTTCTCATGTTTCCAATAAACTCAGACACATTTCATACATCTTGATTGATATTATAGAGGTAGGTGAAGCTTCTGCCTGTAAGRGAATGCAATCTGATACATGAGATGTAATGGCCTTCTAGGAGGATGGATGAATGTATGACTCAAAAGTGCAATGTCATCTTCTGACCCTCTGTGTATAAATGCAGTCACATTTGTTTCCTTATTATTCCATAAGTCTGAATCCAAGAAATACACACCCTGTTCATCACATTTCATTTGTAGCCCACTTAATTTGTGGCTGTTATTTCAGGTCTCACAAATGTGATATGAGTAGAATTTCTTCTAGTTTAAATTACCACACATGCAGTACAGCAATCTCCCAAGAACTGGTTTATGGGGAGATCAACAGTTTTTCTTTTTGGGCAATTGMTAACCACTGTTGGTAGTAAACAAAGACCAGTTCCTTCTAAATACTTGGAAAGAACAGATGAAATAAATGCTTAAAAATAATCTCTTGCCATTTGTGTTTAAGGCAGATATCCCTTCATCCTCTCCCCATGTTATGTACCCTGGATTGAGTTGGGACTGAAATCTGACATTGCATTGTACCCTGTTAAATTACCACTGATTTAATCTATAAAACCATTTTCTATGCAGACATTAATGACCCCTTGGCACTGACTAGTAAATAGGACAAAATACAGAGCAGTTCTTTAAAATGGTTACATTTTCTTAGTGGTTGCTGCTGCTTTGGTATTATTATAAAAATTAGCACTGGGAAGTAGGGTTAAAGATATTTTTTTAATCACTGATGTTTTGCTTTCATCTTTCATGAACTGGTATTTGTATCCCTTGAGCACAGCCCCCAAGTCTGTTTTAGGGGCCTCCTAACGCTTTTATTGTAGCAACAATAAAAAAAATTATTCTTGTAGAAGAAAWGCCTAGTCAAATGGTTGCCTAATAGGAACTTGGAGCATTCAGGCTGAAAGACATGCCTGACTGATACTAGCGTTCAAATTTCCTCAGCCATAAACTCTCCAGAGGTTGAGACAGAATGAAATCATGAATTCCCTGATTTTTGGGGAGGGCTTTTGTTCGGTATGGAAGGTGAGCAGTTCTAAAAGCTGTGAGAAGGTGTCTCCCCCTGAGATGTTAGGTGGTCCACAGAGAGCAGAGGCTATTATCAGTGCCAAAGCTACTGAGCAAGGTCTTGACTTTTCTGAGAATCTGACCTGATTTCATCTGTCAGTAGAACAGCTGCTGAGCACCATACAAATGCTAGTATTACACCGTTGAAAGCTACTATTTTTACTGAGGACCAACATGATTTGAGCTATGGGTAAGCTCAAACAGCAAAAAGAGTGGATTTTCCTATACTTACATAGTGACTGAAACTGGGGCAGACCTCCACTGTAGGTAACACTATAAATAATTTACATTGACTTTAGGGTCTTTGGATACCAAAGTACATCTTTGTTTCAAAAATTCTGAGTGAGGGCTKTGCAAGTAGTAAGCTTGTTTCAGCTGTCCTCAGAGATTTAACAAAGGAAATGAAGGCTTAAGGGACGGTACCTGAATTCGCTGTAGGAAATACTAACTTCCTACTTTTTGATTGCAATATGGTAATGCAAAGTTTAAGTCTATGGTTTAYCCACCATTGATTGGAACACAGTCATGTATTCTTAAAGCTCTTACATCTGAGTCTGCTCTGGATGGTATAGCAAAGTCTGACATTTGAGCATCAGTCAGTTCAGTAAGGCTTTAGGTGCTGATCTTTTGATATGATATTGAGATCGACAGGGCATGTGCAATTCTAACAGAAATTCTGAGTGCTTAAAATACTTAAAAGGCAAAAGCCTGAGGCAAGGAATATTCTGTGGGATAAGATCAGCTTCTGCTGTGTAGAAGCTTTTCTTAACCCTTYGTGTTGAAGCCATACTAGAATTTAAATAGGACAGCTTCACCCACTCCAGTTATTTCAGAAGAGCCATTATTTTGTCTTAACAAGGTGTTATTAAAGTAGTTAAAAGACACCATTTCCCCTACCTAGGAATACATTGGTAGGCGAAAATGTATTTTTTTACAGTGGTAAAAAATTTTACATACTAATTTTCTTTCATTTGAGCATAAGGTAACCAAGAAAACCAACCTCAGAATGACAGGGGTATGGAATCATTCTATTTTTCTTGTCTTCTCTCTTGCTCATTTCTTCTTTTTCTCTCTACTCTCTTAGAGTGTAAACATTCAAAATAGAAATACTTTTCTGATCACATTGAGGCCAAAATCCTAAACCTAAACTRGACCGTAGAAAATTTCTCACTAGAACAGGAGTACCTTCCCCTGGAGCTTCTTCTTTCAAATCTTGCCAAGTCCTATGTGAAATTGTGAGTCTCAATTGAAACAGGCRTCTGTAACATGAGTGAGCAACAGATTGTGCAGGTGGCCATGCTCAGGATGTAGTCACAAGCTCAAGGAGACCCATACCAGAGGGCTGCACCAGGTAGCTTATGTTCATAGGCACTGCCACCCTGGCAAACAGATCTTTGTCATATTTCAGTGACATGTGGTGTGTTCTTGTCACTGTGAATACATTTCCCTATTGTGCTATCAGAAATGCCTCTGAACAAAGTCATCAGTGACAGGCTGAAATATATTCTAAACTCATAGAGTACTATTAAAAAAAAATAACCCCAAACATCTGGAGATCCAAGCATATGCTTGTGCTTAGGCAAAGATACTTCTTTGAGTTGAAGTTTGGAAGGAAAGTAAAAAAAAAAATTGTTAAGAAAAATTTTGAGGAGAGAGAAGATATATTGCTGTGAAGGTGTAATCATTCTGGGACTGGAGCATTGATTCTTCATCCACTGTTAAAAATTGTGTGGTCTCAAATCACATCCACTTTTTTTTTTCCCTGTAGAACTGATTTTGTAAGTTTTYAAGTTACAAATAATTTATTGAAAACAAGGATTGAGGCATTTCAATGCTAAGTTGCATTTCTCCATCAGACTGAAAGCATCGTTCCTGGAGGCATGAAGTGCTCTTGTTCCTTTCCTGGGGCTAGTCTTTGGTAAATTCAGTGTGTGCATTAAGTCTCTTGCTGCTGGTAATTGTGCAGCTGATGCTGTAACTACGCAGTCTGAAGCTTTCAGGATCTCTTGGGTGCAACGGGGCTCCAGGGACAGCTCCAGTTTCACATTTATACTGGAAGAATTATGGTACAAGAAGATGTGAAGAAAGCAACAAAGAGAACATCAGCTGATTCGCTAGTCTTATTCATTGTATTTAAGCAATTAAAAGGTTGTGTTAAAAAAAAATCAGGTGAGGTTCTTGTCTAGAGCTCCTCATTTTGCACCACAGGAGGGTGTGAGCTCTCCCTTCTGAATCCCTATTTTTTCCTTTATTTTTTTTCTTTCTTTTTTTAATCTTTTGGACCATGTGTATCCTCACTGTGCTCATTCAAAATGTGAGATAAGGAGAGGGAAGCATGGCTTTTTGGTTTTACTTTCTAATTTTGTCTTTCTGGAAAGAACTTCAAAATGGCAGAAGTTATCCCGGTTCTCAGTAACAATATTGAGTTTTGTTTTTACTCTAATCATCACTAATCATTTACACTAATCATCATCTTCCTCTGCATGGTTAACAAACTTCCCTCTTCTGAAAGGGTCCTTTCTCACATCTCCTCTCCCCTGAACTCCTTCTTAGCAAAACCAAAGAACACTTTCTTCCTTAAAGGCAATTCCCTTTTCTTCCTCTAGCTTTTCCACCTTTTTGATTGCATAGGATGGTACATTCTTGTCACCACTTTTTTTTTTTTTCCTATGTCTGTAGCTTCATTTGTATTTCAGGCATTCTTCAAGAGTTTTGCCAAAATAACAGTGTTAGGCAGAAGTGCAATCCCCCAGCTCTCCCTGCCCTCCTTAATGAGACAGAGGTACTCACTAATTACAGCTGTACCCCTAAACCAGAAAAAAGGTCACTCTCCTGGTGAAACATCCTTTCTTCAGGAGGCTATAATGCCAACAAACCCCCAGCTGCCACCAACAGTTTAGTGCTTCAAGTATATGTAAAACGCCAAATCCTTTTTCTTAAGATACAGTCTCTCTTTCAAAAAMTCAAGGAATTAATTTTCTCCTTTTTTGCTTCTCCCCTTTTTTTCTACATGTGCTTATTTCACTGTGCAATTGAACTTTTTTTTTAACAAAGAAGGGTAAGGAAGCTTTATATGACAAGTGCAGTGCAATGTTTTCAGTCAATCCATTTTAGATTTTGAGATTAGAACCACAAATAATGATCAAGCATTTTAATGCGACTCCACATAAAAGACTCTGTTGCAGCAATGCCCATGAAAAATAGGAGTACCAATAATATCGTCACCAAAGGGGTATAATCTGCCATCAAACTCCACTAATAATCAAAGTGCCATTTCTGCTTCTCCTGAAGAAACACAGTGGAGGATAAGACTAACTCTGAGCAAYCTGGTCTAGTGGAAGATTTCCCTGCCCATGGCAGAGGGGTTGGAACTGGAAAAACTTTCAGATCCCTTCCAACCCAAACAATTCAATGGTTCTATGATTAACAAACAGGGGCACAGAATTCTACCAACAGTTTTGACCTATCTGGCACTCCATAATCCCCAAAACTTTTCTTTTTGGGAGGGTGTATTTCTGGAGAGAACACTGCAACCAGCCCASCACTATTTGAAAATGTGCTAGATGATGCAGGTAATGCCTACTGCATTGGGGCATGCAACTGGGGCACGCCTGCTGCCCACCTGGAGAGGTGAAGCAGCAGCCAGGCACACCTCCAGCCCCAAGGAAGCCAACCTAGGGAACCCTGTGGGATCACCTTTGGYAATGTGTAACCCAACCAGCACCACTGGCTGTGCTGTTTCGTGTATAGGACAATCATAGGTGTCACAGTATGTCACTAATATACCTATAAAATATATTGTGGCTGATTCAAACCAGGGAGCGACCCATAGATTTGATGTTCTGGCATGTTGTTTAAACCCGGTGCACTTTTCTGTTGTGTTTTGTACTGTCTCCTCAGCCTGCTTTTAGAAGGAACTTTCAAGCGTACTTCTTAAATTATATTTTACATTTATTACCAGCCAGAAGCGTAAAGCTGAGACATTTTAAAATAAAATGTTTGCATTTAAATTAAAGCTGCTGCTGCTGTGTTTCTTGTSCCTTCCCCGCACTGGACCCAGTAGCCCCCTCGCAGTGGGCCCAGTACTCTCCAGCCTYACCTGGTCCCAGTGTCCYCTCTGGACTTGCTCCAACACCAATCCACCCTGGATCCAGTATCTCCTCTGGATTGATCACAGTACCTGCCCCCTGCCTKCAGTGGACCCAGTATCCAGCTTAAACTGGCACCAGCATTCACCTGAACTGGTCCCGGTTGCTACCCTGAACTGCTCCTAGTATCCATCCTAAACTGGTCTGAGCTGGTC